TAAATATACAAAGAAAAGTCTATTCAGGTCCTTTGCCCAGATTTTAATCAGGTTGGGGTTTTTTGGTTGTTGAGTCGTAGTTTTTTATATCGTCTCAATATTAGCCCCTTATCATATGATTTGCAAATATTTTCTCTTTCTGGGTTGCCTTTACACTGTTGATTGGTGTCTTTTTTTGTTGTTTTTGTTTTATGATACATAACAGTTTTAAATTTTGATATGGTCTAGTTTACCTGGTTTTTGTTGTTACTGCTGAAGCTGCAAAGAAACCCTGGAGGAACCAGGTAAGGCTCTGTAAGTCTTTGTGGGCAGGGAAGCTGGCCAGGTGGGAACGGGGGTCAGTCTAGAGCCAGGTGGGAACGGGGGTCATTGTAGAGCCAGGAGGGAAGGGGGTCAGTTTAGAATGAGACGTAACTGTGACTAAGGGAAATGAGTTGTGGGCTAGGGATGTCAGATTGACTTGAAACTTCACAACTTGGTACTTCGTTCTTTTTTGCAGAAGTGTGGCCATCAGAATCGCATTTCAGAGAAGCTGCTCGTGCAACAGCAGGGAGCGCAACTAGAAAGGAGTCTGGAGGCGAGGAGACGCTGAACACCTTGCTCAGACTTCGAGGGAAGGAAATGAGCGCAGTGGCGGGATGGAGGGAGAATGGGCCAGAGGCGGTCAGGGGAGCGAGGGGAGGCGGGAGGAGGTCGCACTCTGAGCACCAGGAGGTGGCTGCCGCTGTTAAGTGCCAGGAGCACGTGGAAGGTGAGTGAGCGAGCGAGGGAAGGGTGTCACATGGACAAGGAGAGACGCACTGCAAGGCGAGGAGGCAGCGACACCCACCAACGTAGACCTTCACCACTCATTCCTGACGACGGCTGCAGGGTGGATCTGCACGAGCCCAAAGGGGAACTTTCTCTGGTGACATCACCAAGGTCACGGCAGGCAGAGGACAGTAACAGTGAGGATCCATCCTTCTTTTGGGGGTGGGGGGGGGGGTTAATCCTCACCCAAGGATACTTTTCCATTGATTTTTAGAGAGTGGGAGGGGAGAGACAGAGAGAAACATCGGTGTGAGAGACATATTAATTGGTTGCCTTCCGCATGCACCCTGACCAGGGCCAGGGACTGAGCCTGAGGTATATGCTCTTGACTGGAATCGAACCCGGAACCCTTTAGTGCTTGGGCCAATGCTTAATCCACCGAGCCAAACCAGCCAGGGCGAGGGGTCCCTCCTTTTCAAACAGAACGTGTGGCAGTTCCGCCACTTGCAGAAGTGACTTCACATGGTCCCCCCATCAGCGTTGGGAGACACCTGAAGTAACAAGGTCCCAGCTGCGCACGACACCCGCCCCACACGGACACGGACAAGTCCCCAACGTAGGGCTTGTTCTGTTAACAATCTCTAAAAACGTGTCCCCCAAATTGTGTTCAAGAATTAAATCGTGGGGACGGTGCAATTAAAAGTTGACTCCCGAGCAGATCGCAGATCCTCAACATGACAAAGCAGACATTTCAGAAACTTACACGGCAAGTTCCTGGTTTCAGGCCTGTGACCACAGCAGCATGAGCGCCACTGGGCCCGAAGGCCTGGATCTTAAACAGAACCGGGCATCAGCAGGGCCGACCTCCCCGCTCTCCGGAGGCGCGCACCACCGTGCTGGCCTGGGCACCGGTCTCCGCTGTTCCTGTGCCCGAGACCCGACAGCTCGAGCGGGAGCAGGCACGGCAGAGCAGGGCGCTGGGTCGTGGAGAGTGGTTCCCGTGGGGCAGGGGCACTGACTACTAATTTCTACGAAGTCCCTCCCAGAAATATTCCCTAGGAGAAAATTTACTAGAAAATGTTTTGCCTTGAGGTTACTTAAAATTGATCCAGGTTGATGGAAATCACACACGTTACGCAAAAAAGATGGAATCACAAAGGACCACTAAGTTCTAAGATCAAAAGTACATTTATTTAAAATGTGGGCAGAGTTCAATATAAAAGGACAGCATGGAAGGAATAAAAACAAAGTACAAAACACTTTGCATCTTCAAATCCATAATTTAGGGACAGCAGGTCCTATTTACAGCCCTTCGCCTGTAGCTCAGGCTCCATCAAGTGGGAAACGTTTAAAAACCTGACAAAGGCTAATCGTAAAACCTTGATGGGGCTCTTTAAATCATTTAATACAAACATAATTTATGTTCCTCAATAAAATCACACATCTTCAAAGATGCAGTATAATGACACTTGTTCTCCTGCTTTAAAACGCTGGTCCCTACGGCAGCAGCTGGAAAACGAAGGCTCGGGAGGGAGCAGAGGCCGGGCCGCGGCCGACAGGACACTGGCCCGCAGGACCCTGCGCTCTGGACCAGGCACCACGGCAGAGACGTCAGTGGAATTTATACGTAGGCTGCTGAGGAAAACTGCTTCCCAGACAGGGGCTGCCTCGGCTCACTGTGTGGACCTCCCATTTCACCGCCACTCAGCCCCTCCCAGGGAAGGGAGCACCCCACACCAGGCTCACCAGTCCCGCCACTCGGCCCCTCCCAGGGAAGGGGGCACCCCACACCAGGCTCACCTGCCCAAGTGCACCAGCCTGCCGGTGGCCCAGTGGGCACCTGTGAAGCTACACAGGTGACTGAGCACAGCCCAGACTGAGCCCGCCAGCCCACACCTGCTCCCCCCACTGGGCACAGTGCACTAGGCTGCATTCAGGCCACAGGGATAAAAAAAAAGGCCTGAGATGACACCACCAAACCCCCCAAATCACTTTGTCTTGTGAATCTTCACCTGAGGACATTTTTTCCATTGACCTTTTTCTTTTTGAGAGAGAGTAGAACGGAGGGAGGGAGTAGGGAGGGAGAAAGATTGATGCGAGAGACACATCAGCTGGTTGCCTCCTGCACGCATCCAGACCAGGACCAGGGATCGAACTTGTATCCCAGGTACGAGCCCTTGACTGGGAATTGAACCCAAGACCCTTTGGTGCATGGGTTGGCACTCTAACCATTGAGCCACTGGTCACCTCCCCCCCTCCCCCGACACACATCACTTTTCAGGCAATTCTTCCTTCTGAAAGCGAAGGCAGCACAGAACAGGCCTCCCCAACATGGCTGTGAGCGGAGAAGGGCTCTGGCACTGATGCCCACGCTGAAAACAAGACGCCGACTGCGAGGTCCCTGGCCTCTCCTCCCGTCGCCCTGGCTGGGGCCACGCCCTACCGCACGGACCGACCCCCACTGAGCAGCGCGGGCTCTGCCGGCGCCTCACAAAGGATATGACTCGTAGTCCAGCGTCTGCGTGAGCACCCCTCGTGAAGCACGAACTCGCGTTGTGAACATCTGAAAAGCCCGCAAACAGCACCAGTGAGCAGAGGGCGGAGGGCGGGGGCCCCACCCAGCACCCCCGGGAGCAGCACGTACCGAGGCCTCGGGCGAAGTACTCGCGGCACAGGTGCAGGTCGTTCTCGCAGGAGATCAGGACGATCTCGGACAGACTCTGAGGGAGAAAGGGAGAGTCGGAGCCTGCACAGGGCACGCCGGCCGAACGGCGGCTCCCGCGGGGCCCACCTTATTCTGCTTGTGTTCCAGGAGCTTCCGGAAGGACGGGGGTCTGGACAACACCTTTCCTCCCGCACACTCCACAATCGCCTTCATGGTCGACAGGCTGGGGCAGATCCCAGGAGTGATGTAAAAATATTTTGCCTAAAATAAAAACATGGGCACGATGTTTTTCCAGCACTTTGACTTCTAGAGCACACCACTTTTCACACACGCCCTCCCGATGATCCTGACAGACGCCTGCTGTCCCCAGGCCACGGGCCGGAGGGACAGGCTGACCGGGATCACGGGAAGTACCCAGAACTCACGGCCCTAAGGCACGATGTCCTTTGGGACATAAGCGAGACTAGCAAACACTTTTCCCAGTTCCTGTGACAGCTCTAACCAGCATCGTGTCACCCATGATGGTCTGTCCATCAGGACAGGACAGAGCTCCTGCCTACTGCCTACAGGGCCGTGGACCCACAGGCAGGAAGTGCTGGCGGTGACGGGTCACTCCCCTAGCATCTGCTCCCAAGTGTACCACACACACCACTGTTCTAAAGTGCTCGTGGGGAAATAAGCCGAACATTTAGAAAAACCAATCAGGCTATTTTAACTCACTAGTGCCAATCATTTCGGATTTCTCAGCTGGCTCCTCAACAAATGTAAAAAGCAGATGATCCTCATTACTTACTTAGCCACTCTGACACCAAAAATTCCAAACGGCTCTAAGCATCCTCTTGAACAAATACGTAAATATCCTTAGCCTGGATGACTTAGGCGCAATTAATATTTTCACAAGACTCCTCCCTTCTCCAGCACGTTCAATGGCAATAGTGTCAGCTACTGTTAACGCAGGAAAACCAACTGAGACGTCTTGTGCCAACTGGGTTATGCAAGCACGCCCTTAGAACCCAGGCACGTGATGAGGCCCGTCTCGGGCACTCACGCTCCAGAGTCACGACAGCACCCTGGACGCACACCCAGGAGGACGGGCCACAGGGTGCAGGCCTCTCCCCGAGGCCTCCGCCTGCACAGACTCAGGGCTTTCCCTCCGCGCCAGGTCACCTTGAAGAGTGGAGACACGTGCGCCCTCTTCAAGGACTCCTCCAGGCTGAACGAGAAGAGCACCTCGGCCTCGGCGTCCCGCAGCAGGTAGCTCTGCTCATCTGGAAAACAGGCAGCGCTCAGCGCCGGCCGCGCCCCACAGGCCGCCAGTGAGCTCCCGTCCACCGCAGGCCCCACAGGCCGCCAGTGAGCTCCCGTCCACCCGCAGGCCCCACAGGCCGCCGCTGAGCTCCCGTCCACCCGCAGGCCCCACAGGCCGCCGCTGAGCTCCCGTCCACCCGCAGGCCCCACAGAGAGACGGGCTCCCGTCCACCGCAGGCCCCACAGGCAGATGGGCTCCCTCTCCCAGACCAGAGCCTATTTAGCCTCCTAAGGCACGTGGGAAAGCCACGCCCCTCACCATGGCCCCGCCCTCCACACCCTCAGGCAGCAAGGGCAGCCGTCCCTGCTGTGCAGTGGCCACAGTGACCTGAGGACACTAGACTCAAGTAGTCAAATGGTACTGATTTACCAAAAACATAGTTCCTTTAAGTACATGGAAGTGCACAGCAATTTACAAAGGAATAGTTTGTTTTTTTTATTAGTTCTCACCTAAGGGTGTTTTTATTTTTTTAAGAGAGAGGAAAGGGAGAGAGAAACAGATGTGAGAGAGAAACATTGATTGGCTGTCTCCTATACACACGGCAACCTAGGTATGTGCCCTGACCGGGAGTCAACCCACAACCTTTTGGTGGATAGGACAACGCTCCAACCAACTGAACCACCCAGCCAGGGCCAAAGTGACTGTTTACAAAATCAGGTGCTTATACTTGTATATAAGAATTTCTGAATTAACCAATCACACACAACCTTATGTGAGGTGACCAATAAGATGTGTCTCTATTATATGATCTATATCTTTATGGTGCAAGACAGGGCATTCACATCGGACACTATTGTTGCGTTGGTTGTTGTCATTTTTATTTGACAATCTAAAGGAAAAGAGGTCAGGGCCCTGACTAGTCGGGTATGGCATGTTTTAAAAACTCTTGTAGCTCACAGTTAAATATCGCTATTTTAAAACAGTGCTTTAAAAATGTGACAACCATTCTTAGCCAGTTTGCTTGCCCGTGGCAAGAGCCATTAAATCACAAAGAAAGGCTGCAGTTTATCGACTGCTGGAAACACAGAATCAAGCCAGCAGCGAATCACAGATAGGCAAGCTGGAAGGAGACAGAATGTCCAAGCAGGGGAGGAATTAGAAAGATGAATTCCGACGAAGGAAAAGGGACAGAGGCCTGCCGGTGGCCTGTCGGAGGCCCACGTGACGGAGGCACACTGAGTGAAGCATCTAAAACGTCCATTTCCAGGCACAAATGAAGCTGAGCCCCGGAGACTGGAGAGCGCTCACCACGGAGTTAGTGTGTGAGATGGAGACACTGACACTGGAAGTAGAAAGGGGAGATGTTTGCTTTCATTGGGACAAAGACTAAAGCTGAGGTGCTGGCGCTGCTCACCAATAAACTTCTGGCACTTTAGGCTCTCGTCCAGCCACTCGGGAGTCACAATGTGCCTCACCACGGACACGGCCGTCAGGAACTTGACCGTGCGTGTCACCTTGCTGGCGATCAGGTGCGTGCACTTGTGCGCAGACTCGGCAATGTCGCCCCCGAGAATGTAGAGCTTCTGAAGGCAGAGACAGAGACAGGAGTGAGAGCAGGAGCTGCGTCGTGTGGCCCAGAGCAACACGTCCAGGACGAGACCTAGGGTACAGCTCTCAGCCAGAGACACACAGCAGCCGGCAGCCCCCCAGCCTGTGGGAGAGGACGGCCCCCTAGCCTGTGCGAGTGAAAGGTGGAGCCCCAGGGCATTTCTGTGGTTGGTTGCACACACACCAGGACCCAACCACATGGCCCTACAGGCAAGAACGAGGCTCTCCTCACAGCGAGCTGCCTACGCTGAACTGCGTGGCCAGGGGGCACAGGTAAGCTACCATCTCCATTTTAAAAATGATAGCATGGAAACTGACAAGACACAAACATATAAAAAATGGTCTCAATAACTGGACTAAGGTAAAAAAATGAAATTATACTAAGTTTATAACAGTAGCATTTATAATTGCTTCTTTTCTTTAAAAAAATAACAAGTGAAATGTCTGAACACATCACGACACAGGCCTCCTTAGACTCTAGCCAGTCCCCCACAAACCAGGAGAGCCAGTGCCCTTGGCTATTTCAAGAAGTTTATTTGAAATTTTCGTGAAAACACAAACACTCAGCCCCGCGTGGCCTCCAGCCAGGAACTACTGTGAGCAGACGGAGGTCCCGCGCAGAGGCCCGGAGGGGAGGACATCCCTCGCCCGGTGGCCGGGTGACCCTCGCCCGGTGGCCGTATGAGTGGCTGTGGTCGGTCACCTGAACCCGCCTCCCCGCAGAGAGGAGGCGAGTGTCCTCGGCGGACAGGAAGGACCCCGTGCAGCCCCGCAAGCAGGTGGCTCACCTTGACGTACTGCTGCACCTGCACAGGCTCAAACCCCGTGAACAGCACGGAAGGCGCCAGTTCAGGGGCTAACTTTTTAGTGGGAGGCGGTATGTCTTCAATTCTACAAAACAAACAGAAGCAGAATGAAGGGTGTATTGTTTACTTGTAAAAAGTTCTTTGAAGACAAGGGACTTCCGTGGCTTTAACGAGCACGACCAGCTGTGCTCGTTATTTCCCCACACGGGGCTCACCTGCCCAGACGCCCAGCACGCAGGCCCCACGGCTCAGGCTCAAGGCCCCTCTGCCTCACGGCCCTCCCTCCCAACTGAAAATGGGTTTAAATTGGCCTGAAAGAGCAGGTGTGCATTCAAGCTGGTCCCATCGCTGGTCCCGCCCACTTCCCTGCAGAGCCAGCGAGGTGTCCCTGCCGCTCCAGCCTGCCCCAACCAGCAGCACAGAGGACCCCCTTTAAATTAAACCTCAGCCTTTTAATTTCCTTAAACTTTCCAAGGCCTATTTTTAGCTCATATTTAATAGAGACAGTCTAGGTAACAAAAAACTTAAGTTTATTTGCAGGAAGGAGGGAGCGCTGAGGAGCAGGGAAAAGAAAAGAAACTGGTGACGGCAACAGACCTCCAAGCAGTAAACCATGTCCAGGTAGAGTCTGGGAGGAGAGTTTTCTAGAGTCACGGATGGCAACACGCTGCCTCAACGGGCCAGCGGACGGCACCACTGCCGGGCACTGGCCGCCCAGTCACCGAGTGCGCTCACCCTGCCGCCCACCCCACCGCCACCGCCCCTCCCCCACCCCAAACCCCCACCCCCCGAGAGGCTGGGGTGCCACCGTATCCTGGCGGTGCTGGTAAGGTGCTACTTTTGAAGAACAAGATTCAACTGGTTTTTTGGTGTGTGTTTTTCATAAGAAAGAAAACAACAGCCTATTCACCTTTACCTCCAGCAACAAAGTGAGAAACATCGCAATCAAGCTGTGAATCAGCGAGCAGACCCTTTCATGACCTATTCACACTGAAAACGTCAGGAACATCCCCAACTGCCACCAGTTCGGAACAGCCCTGTCAAGCCCCCAGAGCGCGGTGTGACCGTCCTTGTCATGGCCCAGAGGGAGGTGTGAGCATACCTGGCTCTCTTGGAAGAAGGCTGGACGTTCGTTACTTCGTTCTGCTTCAGTTTGGGGGGTGGTCTTACAACCTGGAATTAAAATATGATTTACTTCAATCAACTTCCCAAGTAATGCAGTGGCTTCCAAGAGCTCTGGGTCCTTCAGGTGCAGCCCCCCGCCCCCCCCCCCAGTCTCTGCAGGGCACGCCCCCGCCTCCCCACAGGAGGCCTGGAGGGCAGCACAGATGGGTTGCCCTGGGCCAGCAGCATCAGGAGACTCCAAGAACCTAAACCCTGCCACCTTCTATCCCTTCTCAGAACGCTCCCGTTTTCATTGTAAGTATTTCATCTCGCAGCCCACTGGGGATTGGAAAGCACTCAATGCAATTACACCTCATTTTTAAAAACCCAGTATCCCAGAACCAGAAACGCCCCTGAGGGCTCACAGAGCTTGCAGACCCTACAAGGGAAGGAGGCCCTGGTCCCAGCCGTGTCCCGTACAGGGCCTCTAACGCAGCCACTGTCCCATCACCCCTTCTTCATGTCTTCAATGCAGGGCTTCTTTTAAAAAGACACTCTGAACATCACCTCACTAACCAGAGCCCAGAGCTGCACTTCCCACACAGGGTGCCGACCTCTGCCCTCGACCTTGAATATCACTCTCACTAACTGCACACTGCACTTCCCACAGTTAAAGGATCTGAACCACCGAATACACGCAGAGCCTCTCGCAAGACCTGGAACCTCCCAGCTGTTCCAGATGCGGAACCTGCAGGAAGGCTCGACTCCTTAGAAGACAATGACCCTCAACTCTCTACTCCCCAAGGTCAAATTTAATCTCCAAACTCCACTTGCTGGTGGCAAGGACAGAAACAGAATAGGGACCAACCACGGCACAGCAGCCTTCACGGTGTGCAGCCCTAACACTGGTGAAGCCGCAAAGGACCCCGGCCCGACGCCATCTCAGAGCCTATGCAGAGAGGTTTGGGTGGGACTGTGGGGACCGTGTTCATCGTAAAAGCCTCTGTAACATTTCTTTCAACCGCCAGAACCCGGAGAATGTCTGCTTTTGCTGCGCATCAGAGCTGGTCAGTGTTATGAAAGTCACATGACTAGCAGGTGGTCACAGCAGGAGGGAGCAGCCAGCAGCCCACAGGCTCCCTCAGATCACGTTGTAGCATCGACACCCGCAAGCAGGCCCGGGTGGCACCGCCGAGTCCTGGCAAGAGCACCGTCTCCAGTTAGCGGGTGACGTGGCACAAACGCTCACCTCTGCACTGACAGGGTCACGGCAGGAATCAGACAGGACACGACATCCGTGAGGATGACAGAAGGGAATGCACATGCTAACATGTCTGTAAGCCTCAACCTTTCAATCACACTTCTACCGAGAACAGCAAGACTGCCACCCACCTCAGGCATGAAGTGACTCCCGCTGCCCCCCAGAGAAGCGGCGTGGAGTGATGACAATGGTCACGTGGGAAACTCTGCTAAAGCCAATGCCCGCCCTGGCACTGCCTTCCCAGTGAGGACAGGGCCCACACGGGCAGGGCTGCCCACCCTGAAGCAGCGCATCAGAGACCTCAACCCCCGGACGGCCTGCCTGGACACGAGAACACCGACCGGCGGCCCTGTGGCTCTCGCTGCCACCCCACCCCCACACCGTCTCCTTCCGTCCCTGGTGCCACTGAGGCGCTCACTGCAGCACAGAGTGACTGACGGTGCCACCGTCAACGGGAAAGTAGAACCAGGGACACTACACGTTCCTGACAGGCGACAACAGCCTTCATTGGTTGTCAGACAGGCTGCTGAGAGTGCAATCTGCAAAGGCAAAACCCTCCTGCACCTCATAGCGCTGCGGCAGCCAGGGAAGCCCCACGTGACCTACCGTCAACAGCTCGGCCGACACCTTCAGCGGGACTCTCCACGCATCTAGAGAAGAAACAGTTTCTTTTACCACCAGATGCCGTTCAAACAGCAGAGCCTCTGGAAGAGGGTTCCTGGGGTGGCGATCCCCAGACCCCCAGGGACACAGCGGACGCGGAGGACGAGTGGAAGGACTGGGAGTCAGAAAGGCTTTCCTGCAGGGACGAGGGGCGGGTGCTCCGGGATAGCACTCGCCGTCCAGCCCGCTGTGCGTGTCCAGCACGAGGCCACGAGGCCTCGGCACAGCTGTCAGAGCGGGCGCCAGTCCCACTCTGGGACCAGGCTGGCCTCTAATAGACAGCCTGTGACCAGGGGTTCCTGGACGGTGCTGCACTCGGGCACCGGCAGGAAGGGCCGCAGTCCTCACAGTGGAAGTCACGGGAGGCAGACGAGGGCTGGAGAACTGTGCCCTGTGAAGGTGCTGGACACGGCTCACCACCCCACAGCCTCTTCGCGAGCCAGTGCCCGGGGAAGAGTGCTGTTTCTCTGAGTTCAGTTCAGTGATGCAGTAACACGGGCATGACTCCTGCAGTGGGTCCCCACCAGGGGCTGAGGAGCAGCAAGCGTGCATCCCGACCTGATGCAACCAAGTCAACCCCAGGCGACAACACAGCAGACGTGGGCTCTACACATGACACAGGGCACGTGCCAGGGCTGGAGCCTCTCTGGGCCACGCTACCCGCCTGAGACAGACAGCCAGGCTCCCGCATGTCCTCCCATCTCGAGTGGCCTCTGGGAGAAGGTGGAAGTGCAGAGGAGACAGGAGCAGGACTGATGGCGGAGGAGGGAACAGGAAGGGCGGCACCCAGGCCGCTCTACCTCAGTGGGAGCCACTCACCCAGCAGATTGACCACGAGGTGCGGGCTGGGGGCAAAGGGGTCGGGCAGATTGAACGCCGTGTAGCGGCTGCACTGGACCTGCCGCAGAGCCTCGAAGTTCCCCAGCAGAATGTCCCCGAGCCACTGCGCGTTCACACAGGGGATCCTCCACTCTTTGGCTTTCTCATACTTTAAACCAGTTGGCCTTTTTTGGTGGAGAGAACACATTGATTAAACGTTAAAGTTGTCTACTGTTCAAATGACTATTTTCAACGAAAGCCGGTAAAAACACCTCGTTTGTCAGGAAGGACAGGGACATCTCAGCAAAGGTGAGGGAGCCCTGCTGGCCAACAGGTGGCATGTCCCTCAGCTTGCCCTGGGCCACGGGACATCACCCACTGTCCACGTCTCTGTGTGCCTGTGACCAACTAAGTAGCTCGCAGCTCACTGACCCGCCCACCTCCTTCAGGTGCTCTGGCTACGCCTGCACACGCGACCCTGAGTGTCCCTGTCCTCTTCCACACACTCTGACCTCCACACTCATGTTCCCCAAACTGGCATCGCTGAGGAGCACACAGCTGCGCAGACAGCCCGCGCCCGGTGCGTCCAAGGTGCATCGGGGCTCCCAGGCGCGCTTACTCTTTACAGATGAGGACCGTGTTGCTGCGGCACAGGTAGCCTGTGTATTTGGCCCCTGCCAGGTAGGCCATTAACTTCAGGTCATCTCTGTCGCCATCAACAAATCCGGTCACAGAAATAATCTAAGGGAAAAAGCAAATACGGTAAAATACGATTTAACACAAGAACTCTTTTTCCACGTTTCAGTTGTTTCATGTGGACGTATGTGTTTTCACTCTTTCTTTGGAATTATGGGAGATACCAGGGCATGTGACTATCAGTCAGTTCTTTGCACCCCTTACTGACTCGTTCTGATGATTTGGGTGGAGAACATACAACTTTTGATAAAGTGCTGCCCAATAGCGGTCACTTCTTGTGCAAGACACGGGGTTTATTTTGGAATTGTAATCAGTGTCAAAAATTTTGCAGAATCAGGCAAACATCCCGTACGTGTGGAAGACAGTGACTGGGCCCGAGCCCGACCCCAAGGCCCAAAGACAGACGCGGCCTTACGTGCTGGGAGCAGGGCCTGCCCCCGGGGGGGAAGGCCACGGGGAAGTGCAGGGCGCGGCGCGGGGGCAGCATCTTCTTCCTCTTGAGCACGGTGTTGAGCCAGTGCGCCGTGACGCACCGCTTCCGCTCCCTGAGGGCCTGCGATGGCAACAGGGGGTCAGTGAGCTGTCACTGCAGGGCTACACTACCTGAGGTGGCAAAGCTACAGCCCACACTGGAAATCACAGAGTTCCATGATGTTTAACGCTCAATTCACTAAAAGAACTAATTTTAACGCCACTCGAAACGATGCCAACAAACATGAGTGAGCACCTGCCGTGGAGGTGAAAGCTACAAGTCTTATCACACCTGGGGGCTAACTTCATAGAATGAGGAACATTTATGATCATGAAAATTAAATTTCCCACAAGCACACAGAGGGCCCCACATACAACTTAAGAAAAACGGGTCTGCGCCTAACAAGAACCCCAGGCAAAGTCCCCACGCATTTCTCCTTTTTTTTTTGGGGGGGGGGGGGGGGGCGGGGGGGCGATCGGGGAGGTCATTATCACTGACACAGTAATGCAGGTCTGGTACAAACAAGGGCCTCTTTCAGGAAAGAGAGGGAAGCTCTGGGAGGCATGTACAGCCAGGCCCTGGGGACAGTCCCTCAGGAGGAGGGCATCCTGGTGCCACCCACCAGGTACTCATAGCACCAGAGCTTGAGTGGGGGCGGCCCGCCCACCCTTAACACCCTGAGCCTCCTTGCTCTCTCCTAGCACCAGGGCATGAAAGTTACCTCCCACAAAGGGCATGAGAGTCATCCTTAGAGGTAGGTAAGTCCTCCCCAAGCACAATCGTCGCCGGCCTGGGGGGCCGCGGGCTCACCTGTGCGAACATCCCGCTGACCTGGCTCTCACAGAGCAGGTGTGTGCAGCGGCTGGAGAGCGTGGGGTCCACTGCACCGCCGTGCGCCTGGATGATCTGCACGAGACCAGGCACAGTCAGCGTCACGTGCACAACAGGGAGAGTTGTAACTCAGTGGTTCTCAACCTTCTGGCCCTTTAAATACAGCTCATGTTGTGACCCAACCATAAAATTATTTTCATTGCTACTTCATAACTGTAATGTTGCTACTGTTATGAATTGTAATGTAAATATCTGATATGCAGGATGGTCTTAGGCGACCCCTGTGAAAGGGTCGTTCGACCGCCAAAGGGGTTGCAACCCACAGGTTGAGAACCGCTGTTGTAACTCAAACCACACAGCTCTTCAAAGAACCACCATATATTACAGCTTATTGCCCCAAAGCAAAGAGGCCCGTGTCAATTATATTCATGGACCTTTCCACTGAGCCCGATGACGGGAAACGGACTCCACACTCAGTCACTCTGACTTCCCAGAGGGAAGAAGAGGGAATGTCTCTTGATCTGATGCTCCCGACAGACACTCGGACAAGCTCATTCTGTCGTGGGGCTGCCCTGTGCATGGTTGGGGTTGGTGGCACCCTGACCTCTACCCATGGGGTACCAGCAGTATTCCCCCAGTTGTGACAGCTAAAAATGTCTACAGAGCCCTGGTCAGCATGCTCCATGGTTAGAGCACCGGCCCTCGGACCAAAGGGTCACAGGTTCAATTCCCAGTCAAGGGCATGTACCTGGCTGGGTTGCAAGTTTGATTCCTGGTTGGGCATGTGTGGGAGGCAACCAATCGACGTGTCTCTCTCACATCGATGTTTCTCTCCCCGCCTTCCACTCTCTCTAAAATCAATTAAAAAAAAAATCTTCAAGTGAGGATTAACAAAACAAAAAATGTTTGCAGATACTGCCAAATGTCTCCTGGGGCGCGGAGTCACCAGTAAGAACCGTTATTCTAAAGGGGGAGTAGGGACGGAATCAGAAAGAACTTAGCGAATACCAAATCTATCTCTTTATTTAATATTTTTTAGATTGATTTTTTGATAGAAAGGGAGAGGGAGGGATAAAAACATTGCTGAGAGAGGCACATCAATCAGCTGCCTGCTGCACGCCCCCTCCTGGGGATCAAACCTGCAACCCGGGCATGTGCCCTGACGGGGAATCAAACCCAGGACCTCTTGGTCCATGGGGCAAAGCTCAATCACTGAGCCACACCAGCCGGGCACCAAAATTTATTTTTAAAAACAGATTCAGCTTTTGGGACGAGGGAACTGCTCTGTACCCTGGCTGTGGTGGTTACAAGGCCCTCAGCTTTTGTCAACACTCAAAGAGCTGCTGCAGCTAAGAGGGCTGCCCCACAGAACACTCTGCTTCACTTCCTATTTCTGAAATTTAGTTATTTTACTATATTAATTCACGCAGTTTAATAAGGTACATGACAGAAAGTCCGTTTCCCATGCACAGCACCGTCACACTGATAATGAATGACCAATGTGCTCTAATAGGGTTTGTGCTGTCTTCATGTCAGAAGACGTCACCCCCCTACCGACCATGGAGGCCGCTTCCTGCCCCCATCTCCTCCCCTCCCCGCACCCCCGCCCCCAGCCTCCGAGTCCAGAACCTAGAGTCCCTCTGTGGTGCCGAGTCCTCGCCTGCAGCAGCTGCCGCCTCCCTGCTCACCCACTTGCCTATCTTAGTTTCCTCTTTCATGCCCAACTCCTCAAAGGTAAGGGATGGTTTTAAATGTGTCCCCACTCGCTCTTTTCCTCCTGGACCTGGTTCCCGCAGTCAGTGTGGAACTGACCCGTGGGACTCATGATGAAGCTAGGACACTGGGCTCCACCTGCCACCCCAGGTGACAGGCGGGAGCAGCGCGGCGACCTGAGGCCGCGTCATCTCCTGGCACCGTTCTCATTTGTGCTGTGTTCCTGGATCGCCGTCCTGTCCCGCGTCCTCGTCCGTCTAATCTATGTGGGAGCCCCTTCCCACCCGGTCAGGCCCCATTCCCGGCTGCCCGTCTTCCCAGAACAAGCACGTGGGAGGTATGCTGCTTGACTGTGAAGTCAGAACACCTTATCCCACTGTCGCCTTTGACCGGCTGGCTCTGCACTGCTCTGGCTGGAAATCGCCCCGTCTCCTGGCAGCGCCCTCAGACTCCCCCGACTCCGTCACTCCAAAGCGCTCTCTGCTTCTCACCTCCCAACTGCTCCACAGCATTCTCCTCTCCTTCGTCTGGACACGCTCTCCAGCTGGGAGCTGTATTTTTTAACAATGTTCTTGCCCTCACTTCCTTTTCCCAAACTGCTCTTATTAAACAGTGGGCCTCTTGGACGATCTTGGAACCTTAAAACTTGTGTCATGGCACGTGGATAAGGAAGATGTGCCCTGGCCTTTGCAGCTGCCTCCCCACTAACCCCCCACCTTTCCTCTTGGACGCCTCACCCCACCCCACCCTGAGGACTGTGCACTTTCCTACGGCCTGTCCCTCCCTTTCTGCAGCTGTATGCCTGCCTGTGCTGCAGCCCCCCTCCCCGCCCCCACCCCCGCCCCATGGCTCTCCCTGCACCTCCTCGCGGTCTGTCAATGTGGCTCTCTCTCCAACTGCTTTAGTTTCCTCAGTCTGTTTGTTCATGTACCCCCTAGGTCCTGCCACATGCCTGGGACACTGCAGGGCCTAAACACCACCATTGCTCATGGGGAGCAAATGCAACATGTTTCTGGAGCCACTTCAACTCATCTTTCAAAAAGTTTCCAGCTCAGTTCTGATTTGTGGCATTGCAAAACACAGTCACTTTCTCTCCTTCAAAGGCCACAGTGCAACACAATAGATGGGCTGCAGCCCACAGCTTAGTAAGGCACATGACAGAAAACCGTTTCCCACGCACAGCACCCACGTCACACCGACAATGACCAATGCGCTCTAACACCTGCAACACGATAAACGGGCTGCAGCCCACAGCACAGCGCTCGCCTCGCCCGGAGCCAGGATTCCCTAGAGCAGTGGTTCTCAACCTTGGCCGCACATTAGAATCACCTGGGAATCTTTTTAAAATCCTGATTTCTGGGCCTCATCCTCCGGAAATTCTGTTTCTTTGTTATGGGGTGAGGCCACAACATTAGTAACAAAGAAACAGAATTTCCGGAGGATGAGGCCAGAAATCAGGATTTTAAAAGGATTCCCAGGTGATTCTAATGTGCAGCCAAGGGTTGAGAACCACTGCTCTAGAGCATCTTGCAGGATCGGGAGTGGTCAAGGCAGAGAGGGCTGACAGGCCCGATCCCCTGTCATCATGTAAATGTTTTTGGAAATTCTGGTACTTCAGAGCATTTTGGCACCCAAAGCCATTGCAAGTAGCTTTCTATTGAATCTTCTCTCTGAAGAGAGGTTGAAGTGATGACTTTGAACTTAAATTGGGAGTTTTCTCCTAGACATCTTCATTAATTCACAGCCTTTCAAATCCTTTGACCTTTTACACTTTGTGGTAAATTCAGAATAGGATGGTGTGGTCTAGGAGGAAGGAGCTACATATTGATGAGTAATCATGCTCTGCAGTTCTGTGTCACCCAGCCTCCTCTCCTGTCACAGCATGATGCACCATGAAGCACGTTTAACTAGTCAGTATTTACCAGAGCCAGCCTCCTGCTCCTGACCAGCTGGGGACTTAACTAGCAGTCCATTACTTCTTTTTTTTATTCTTTACTATTTAAAG